ATTAATGTATGTGTGTATTAAGGAACGGACTGCATTTGCTTACTGTCCTCACCTAAATGAAATGAAACTGATTTGAAGAATCAATAAACGTACAATTCAGGAGCGGAATGGGAATATGACACACTACAAATGATGCAATATTGCACTGTGTCAGTGTCGAGTGTGCACATATCGATATACAGACTCCCTACCCCGTGCTATTGATTTAACGAGTCTGAATCCTGTTTACCAATACCAGCCCTTGGAATATTGATTGTCTGGTCTGTATTATAGAGGAGACTGGGGATGTTTTAGAGAGGATTGGGGGACACTAATAGAGGGAGCACCATGCAGGGTACTAAGGGTGGGTAACCCCATAGGTATTGATATAGTGACTGGGAAGGGTATCACAAGAGGGAACACTGGGGCTGATATACTAGGGTACACTGGGGTTATTATAGGAGTGTACACTGCAATTGTTATAAGAGGGTACAGTGGGGTTATTATAAGAGTACACTGCGATTGTTATAAGAGGGCACAGTGGGGGTATATATACCTGGTCACACTAAGATTGTTATAAGATGGCACAGTGGGGGTATATATACCTGGTCACACTAAGATTGTTATAAGATGGCACAGTGGGGGTATATATACCAGGTCACACTAAGATTGTTATAAGATGGCACAGTGGGGGTATATATACCTGGTCACACTAAGATTGTTATAAGAGGGCACAGTGGGGGTATATATACCAGGTCACACTAAGATTGTTATAAGATGGCACAGTGGGGGTATATATACCTGGTCACACTAAGATTGTTATAAGAGGGCACAGTGGGGGTATATATACCTGGTCACACTAAGATTGTTATAAGATGGCACAGTGGGGGTATATATACCAGGGCACACTAAGATTGTTATAAGATGGCACAGTGGGGGTATATATACCTGGTCACACTAAGATTGTTATAAGAGGGCACAGTGGAGATTTATATACCAAGTCACACTGAAATTGGGGTTCTTATAAGAGGGCACACCGCGGATATATATACCAGAGCACATTGGGAGTATATACATAGAATGTGACGGCAGATAAAAACCATTCAGCCCATCTAGTCTAACGCTGGTATGCTCTACCTTAGATACATATCTATAGGGAGAGATATGAAAATAGTGTATTACAATTAACACATATAAAGGGTGGGGGTGGTAGAAAACTCACAAGATTTAGGTAAATTCAGGCGTATCTCCCTTGGTATTAGGGAACTAATGAAGTATGAAGAACCTCCAGCGATGCAATTCTGGATATAGTAAATCTTCTTGGATAGTGCAGATTGTATAAAAATATAAAAATGTATTGTATATATTGCACTCACAATGTCTCAAAGCAAAAACAGCATGTCACCACACCAAGGTGGTATCCACGTGTATCAGCCAATAAAATCACAGCGACAACTGCAAGCGCAACAGCAAAGGTAAAATAAAATAAAAGTTCATATGAACAAAATAAACAACTCCAACGCGTTTCGTCCTCTTCTGGACTTCCTCAGGGATGTATGACTCCAATCCGGCCGGTTCTGCCAGAAAATGAAGATTATTGATCGTAGCTGTTGGCATGCTTTCCACCTTGGAACGCATTCATTACTTCCGGGTGACG